CAGAAAGAGATAGTCGAAATTTCTGTGATAAGTAATAAAGAATGCGTGATTGGAGAATTTGAGACAAATTGAAAAAACGAGACCAATAGTAGCAGATCTACTTTGAAATTAATGAAGCTTCAGAAAATCCAAGAGGAGCCTCATAAGCAACGTTTTTTAATGGAGGATTTTTTTTAAACAAAATTGGCTTTTTTTTAAGTGTTTGTTATTAAAATAAGGCCATTTTAGTAAATCATAAAGCAATGGGTTGAAATAACTAATGTTGGCTTTAGAATATAATCTAATACCCATTTCATATGATCTCAAAATTTCCCTGTTCAAATTTTGAACTTTTTCAGCAATGGCATCCCATGTTGTACAGACGCACTGAGCTGACTAGAAACTATTCATAGTCTATTTTGGCAAATGGATTCTCAAACCTATTGTTGCTGAATGCGAAGCGGCACCTATATCTGTTTAAGCTTCCAAGGATCAAAACCGTAGGTCCTCCACTGGGGGAAAATAAACAACGAGGAATATGCTTAACTAATTTGTGCAAGTGGACGCCAAGGAAAAAAAAACATTGCCAAGAGCTATAAAGTTGTAGAGAAATTTAAAAGCCTTCAAAACAAAACTGTTCTCATTTAACCACGACCAAGAAACGTTCCTACCCACTATCAGCATGGCTAATGCTAGATTCATGGAGAACAACACATTCTTGGCCTCACGTTTTCAATGACTTGAACTGGAACGACTACATGGAATCAATAGCTGCACCTACTGCAAGGAAATTTGGGTCACTGTGTCGTGCCAGTAGTTTTTTTTTTCTCATCAGAGTCTATCTTTCACATTTACAAATCTACCAGTCGTCCGTGCATTGGATACTGCTGCCATATCTGGTCTGGTACTCCTGCTATTCATCTTGGGGTACTTGACAACATCCATAGTAATATCTGCAATATAATCGATCCTGACTTGACATCTCAACTTCAGTCACATTCTCACCGACGTAATGTGGCTTCCCTCTGTCTTTTCTACAAATATTTTAATCTCTTTTTCCTTACCCGGGTTGTGTTTTTAAGCGTGCTACTAGATGGGCATCTAGGTCTCACCCTTTTACCGCTGAATTAGGTAAATCCAACCACCAATTCTACTCCAACAGTTTCTTTTCCCGTACGTCCCGCCTGTCGAGCTCCCATCCTTATCCTTGCTTCCCTGATAACTACAATCTTCAAAAATTTAAATGCTACGTTAATCGCTATTTTCTCTCTTTTTGAGGCATTGAATTGGTTGCAAGTACACCCGCACTTGAAATGCGTAAAGCTGCTCTTACGTTTCCTTATCTGAAGCGGCCATTTACTGTCATCACATGTCGATAGTCTGTCATTAGAAATAAGAATGACAAAAATGATTGAATAGTTAAATAAAAACAAGAAAAAAACAACACGTAGTTTGCAGAAGGACATGAAGACAAAATGTTTAAGTGTATCAGATGACACTAGCAGAAATGAATGGGGAAAAAAAGGTGGTGTTGGAGAAGAGGGGCGCGTAGATAGAGTATTGGAAAGGAAGACAAAGAAAAAAAAAAGAGACAATAAAGAGTAGTATTTTGATATGCAGACAGAAGGGGGAGAGAAAAGACGAGGGAGGGCCGACCGAGTGATTGGCCAAGTTGACAATGTATTTATGTTTTGTGATATAAACTTCATAATGGGGCGATGCGTGTCTTTTGTATGCTTATATCAATGGCCGCTGATCGACGTTTCACTGTATGCTTCTTCTCAATTCCTCTGTTCTTCTCTTACTCTCACTCACTCTCTTATCCCTCTACTTGCTATCCTATGTCTCAAGATGCACGTGTGAATCTGTGTTCTCATGCATACGTCTACGGACGTCATTGCTATTGTGAAATCTCTATAGTCATTTAGCAAGCGTTGCTTAGCCTGGTACAAGGTCTTAAATTGATTCTGTTAAATTGAACTACTTGCGAAGTGTTATAAAAGACGACGGAAAATTTGACACAGAAATCCAAAAGCTGACAGGAATAGCAAAAGGTGCCTTCCAAAACTAAGCAAAGTATCAAGAAACAAGAAAATTTGTTAGAATTTTGCTGTAGTTATATATAAATATATATATATAAATACAAAATTGACTAGCATATATAAATATACGAGCCAAAAACAACACACATGGTCTGAAGATTACGTTCAAGCATGGAACTGACTGTCGTCGCATGCTGTTGCTCAGTGTCTAATTTTATATTTACATACGCTTTGCTTTTTATATTGAGCACTTTTACCATTAAGCATAAATATAGTATGTCTTAAAACTATACTTTATCAGATAGATAGATAGATAGATATTATAAATTAACTGATTTAAAAATATGGTTGCTTCGTAATGCTTTTAATTTAATTAAATCATTGAATTTGGTGTTGTTAGTTTCTGTTTTTGAAACATGGCAATTCCGGTGTAGCGAAGGAACCTTATTTTTAAATCAGTTAATTTCTAATATTTATGCTTTGTAAATGTACATTGAGCACTGTTTTGTAAAAATAAAAATATCAATAAGGACACCAGATTATATATCTTACTGTTCTTTCTTTTTACTATAATATATATATGTGTGTGTGTGTGTGTGTGTGTGTGTGTGTGTGTGTGTGTGTGTGTGTGTGTGTGTGTAAAAGGTTAATGGTCAGAGTTGAATAAAACCAGGAAACATTAGTATTAAATAGTGCTCAATACACGTGTGAAAAAACAAAAGTAAAAATAACATGTAGAGCTTTTAACTTTAAAAATTAAAGTCTATATATATATATATATATATATATATATATTTATATATGTATATATATATATATATATATATATATATATATATATATATATATATATATATATATATATATATATATATATATATATATATTATTCTATTTCCGTGTCTAATTACCAAATAATGCCAAGCGACCGCGATAAAGAGAGATATATGTGTCTGGTAAAGGACAAGGTACCGAAAAGGAGAATAAATGCTTCTAAAATTGTAAACACGACGCAGAAAAAGTAAAAAAGATGTAGTTGTAGCAGTAGGAGCAGCAGCAGCAGCAGCATCACTACTAGTAGTAGTAGTAGTCAAAGAAGAAGAAAAAAGAGGCCAATTAAAATCTAAAAGAAGAGAAGAAGAAAAAGAAGAAAGGCAAATTGAAATCAAAAGGAAAAGAAGATAAAGAAGTAGAAGAAGAAGGAAAAGGAGAAAAGAAGCAAAAGAAGTAGATGAAGAAGAAGAAAAAAGAGGTAAACTGAAATCAAAAGGAGCAGTGGAAGAAGAAAAAGAAGAGAGGAAAACTGAAATCAAAAGAAGAAGACGAACAAGAACAAAAGGAGGAGGAGGAGAAGAAAAAGAAGGCAAATTGAAATAAAAGTGAAAAGATAAAAAAAAAGAAAATAAGAAGAGAGACAAATTGAAATCAAAAGAAAAACAAAATGGAAACTGAAAAAGAAAAGTGATCCAGAAAGTAACAAGGATTCATACATGTCTCCTAGTTGTGCTGAAGTTGATAAGTACTAATTATTTTAGGCAGACAGCTGCCATCTTATTTAAGCTCGCGAGGTGATTGCATATTCTAAAGAAATATGCTAAAGCTGACCACACCTGACGATTCACGCGGGAAAAAAATCTTTTTCTTTAAAGAATTTTCGAACCTGAAACCTTTATTTACGCTAATATGCCGTTTACACTAAACTATCAGTTGTGTTCAAAATTTACCGACATTCTTTTTTTGAAAGTTAGCAAACTGAATAAGGAGATGAAAATGCATTTTCCGCTTAAATTTCGCGTTAATGCATGTCTTCTGCAACTGTGGGTTGGTACCAAACACTGAATCAACGGAGATTTTTCTGCTGATTTTCACCCACATTGTTTTCCAAGTGTTTATGCATATAAAAAACTGCAGTAATACTTTAAATTAAGTACCGCAATGTCTGAAATCTTCTTCAGATGTTAATCTTTTGCGTACATGGAATGTTTTGAAAACATTGTTATTAGTTTTACAGTTAATGTCCAACATTCGCAGACGTACAGATAGATTACTTTCAAAAGTTCAAATTTGGATAAACATTGCTGGCTAGCTTCATAAACCAAGGAATGTTAGGCTATTTTCATGTATTTAATCGTTTCTCCCTTAGCAAGACAATAAAGTCACTAAGACGCAACGGGTTACTGAGAGTAAAAGAAACTAAGAAAACATTACTGAGGGCAAAAGACAGTAAAACGACAGGATTCAAGGTGACAACAGAACCATTGACGTCGTATTTAAAACTTTGACGATCGTAGTTGACAGATATGCAAGAAGCCAAAAAATTTTCGAAATGCGCGAAGTGCGAGAAAGACAGCTTATAGTTATGTCGAAACCTGACTTCCACTCTAGTAGTGCATTTAAATTTGTAAATACGAAGTATCAAAGAGGAAAGCTTATAAGAAATTACTGTGAATATATATATATATATATATATATATATATATATATATATATATATATATATATATATGGAATGGACAAAGTCAGACAATTATTTTAAGACATTTTATGTTTATACATTCTTTTTATAGATACAAATATTCAGGCCGGTAAATGTTGTTTAATACTGTTTATTATAAACAGAGCTTTTACTTAAATATTTGTATCTATAAAAAGAATGTATAACCATAAAAATTTTTTATTTATATATATATATATATATATATATATATATATATATATAGTTTTAAGGTGTGCTATATTTATGGGATAAAGTGGTCAATATCAAAGATAGAGCGTATGTAAATATAAAAGCACACAACACTCAGAGGAGACAGACTGTTTCATGCTAATCGCAATCATATATATATATGTATATATATATATATATATATATATTAAACATTTCACCCCAAGCAAAGCCACTAAGACATAATGGGTTACCCAGTGTGATAGAATATGAGAAAAGAAAAGTACTATTAAGGAGAGAGAACAATAAAAGAACAGGAATTACAAAGACATAAGATAACCATTGAAATCGCATTTAAATATTTGAAGTTCAAAGGAAACTGGGAGGCAAGCGAGAAGTGCGATAGTAAAAATTGTTAGCATTATGTTTTTTTTTTTTTTTTTTTTTTAAGCATTTCACCCCTAGCAAGGCGGGAAGCAACTAGCACGCAAGGGGCTACAGAGGATTTGGAGCAAGATCAGATAGGAGTGATAGAGGAAAGGATGAAGAGAAGGATAGGGGATAGATCAAGGCATCTGGAGACGTCGATTGACATTACATTTGAATAGTTGGAGATTATAGCTATCATGGAAACAGAAAGAGGGAATGGAGTTCCAAGGGCGAGAGGTGCGAGACATGAAGCTATCTGAGTAGAAGAGACGGCTACATTTAATAGTTTCAACAGTGAAAGGGTGAGAGCGGGATGCCCAGCCTCGTAGGACGCTTGAATTCGCAAAGTCTGGGAACCAGCGAAAGCAGCTTATCGGAGAAATTACCATGAAAGTATTTGTAAAAAAAACATCGAGCTATTTCATTTATATCACGATGAGGACTCTTTTCTCTGTTTCCCTTGCTTCAAATCTCCTTTTCATCTGTGCGGAAATTGTCCAGCATTCATTCTTACATAGGAGGATTGGTATTGCATAGCATTCTTTTCTTTGTTTCTAAATTTTTTTTTTTGTTTTAGATTTTTAGTTATTGGAAGTCATGTCATTTGCGGGTTTCACATTTGTAGCATTTACTGTTTTGAAATTAAGGTGCTGGCAGAGAGAGTAACTGCAATTACTGAGAAGTTTAAAAACCTGTGATCCCAAGAGAAATTTGTGATGGCGTTCTTGCATTAAAACGAAACATTTTGTTTCCATTTTCCTGAAGATTTTCTCATTAATCACTTGACCTCTCCATGGTATTCTCAGCATCCCTCTGTAGAACCACATCTCTTTTTTCTCAAGTTTCCTCTTGATCGGTGAGCAGGAGAACTGCTATTACAGAACAGTCCAGCACTATTTCTTTTGTTTCTAAGGAAATTTTCCTATGTCTTAATACTTTGTTTAGATTTTGGAAGGCATCTTTTACTAATCTAACGTGCTTTTCAGATTTCTTTATAGACAGATTTTCGTTGTTGCTCTCATTTGAATACATCATATTTGTGGTTAGCTTTGAATTACCATCTTTTTTTTTTTAATTCTATCATTAAAAATAATATCTTTTTAAAGATGGAATCATTCATTTTATCTTCGTTAAGTCAATAACTTTTATTTTGGTCACGGAAATACGTGACTGTGCGAATGAGTTTTTTTTTTTTTTAGTTTTAAACTGTAAACATCTGAGAAAAGAGACTAAAATTACATTGCAAATAACACTTACTACTTTTGTTTTTAAAAAGTACATGGCTAGCTTAATCATTCAAAACTGTTATCGTACCTGTCATGTTCGCTAGGCGGATTGCTTCTTGAAAGAACCAAAAACTATATCAAGTTCAGGTAGTGAATAAATTTGAATGAGTGGAATAGTGAAATTATTTTTACTTGTATCGGAATTAATTACTTTTTTTGGCTGAGTGTACTTAATAAAAAATCTCGGACGGTCAAAAAATGCCAGAAATATCTGAAGTTATGTTATAATTGTATTGTTTTGTCGGAGTTAGTTCCTCCTTAATTTCCTAATTGTTCAGTAGGGGTCGCTCTCCCTACACTATAAATACTGGGCGACTTCTCGCCTCGTTCTCTTTTTCACTTTGCATTTCAGCAGACACATTTAGAAATGTGATCTCTCGTAGAAATCCGCGTTTTCGCCCACTTGTGGGAAAACGCCATGAATTATACACACACGTACGTACGAACATTCCCCAAAATACAAACTCTTTAAGTTCATTCACAAACACAAATGTTGATGTCTTTGTCACTTGTAAAATTGTTGTTTCATACATACATTTGTTGAGGATGAAATGGAACTAATGTCTTTAATTTAATTACAAAATTAAATTCGTAGCTTTTAGCTTCCATTTTTGACACATGGTTAGAACTGTGTAGCGAAAAAAAACGTATTTTAAATAAATCAATTTATAATATTAATGCTCTGTAAATTTACATTGAGTACTATTTTGTAAAAATAAAAATATCTATAAGAACACAGGATTATATATCTTACTGTTCTTTTTTTTATATATATATATATATATATATATATATATATATTTTGTTTGTTTGTTTCCTTTACTTATGATGCGACACGACTTTGAGAATTTGCATGAACGTTATTCGTTTGCTATTAGTATTGCAAATTCAGCATTCTCTCTCAACAGTTTTATTATATAGGAAAAGCCGAATCGCTTAAAGACACCCAATAGCAGCAACAAAAATTGATAGGACAAAACGAGAAGATAAAATAATATAATCGAAATGTTGATCTTCCAAAGTAGCTTAAACAAAAAGACTGGAAGGAAACGACAATCAAATATGAGAAAAATCTATAAGAGTTACTGGACTTAAAAAATCTGTAAGAGTTACTGGACTTAAGAAATCTAATCTCTTATAAAGAAAAAGGTTTGTACAAAGTTCATCCAAAACTAACTTGAACTGTTTGCTCGATAAATGCTGAATGAACCCTTGGTTACGGCCACCTCACGCATGAAACACCGATTCCCGTACGATCATCGAAGTTAAGCAATGTTGGGCCTGGTCAGTACCTAGGGGGATGACTGCTTAGGAAAAGCAGATACTCTAAGACTGGATGTGCAGGTGGTATAATGGATAATGGTACGGATTTTTTAATCGGAGAGCCGAGTTCCAATTCCTGTTGGGTTCGTTATATTCACTTATTGGTAAAGGCATGGAAACACCTCTTCTCCCCCGTGTTTAATAGTAGGACTTGATTATATATATATATATATATATATATATATAATCCTAGTGAGCCAGAAACTACCTACCAATGTTTAACTTAACCGATCTTTTTTTATTTATATATATATATATATATATATATATATATATATATATATATATATATATATATATATATATATATATATATATATATATATATATATATATAATCCTAGTAAGCCAGAAACTACATACCAAGGTTTAATCTAACAGATCTTATATATATATATATATATATATATACTCACATATAATCCTAGTGAGCCAGAAACTACACTACCAATGCTTAACATAACCGATCTTTTTTATATATATATATATATATATATATATATATATATATATATATATATATATATAAGAATATAGTTTTAATGTATGCTATATTTATGGGTTAAAGTGCTCAATATCACGGATGTAAACCTTAAAGTTTAATCGAATATTTGCTATTTTCTACATAAAAGATTTCGATTTGGAAGAATAATCGAAATTGATTTTTCCAGACTGGATGAATTAAATGAAAGAAGAATTGGTTTCAGATATGTTAAATGAATTTCTTTTTTCAAAAAATATTTGCATGGCAAAGGTGAGAAAAAAAATGTAAATAATTACATTTGTCAATAATCTGAAATAATCACATCAGTTGCTTTTTGGTTTCATCAACGATGCCTGAGGAGGCTGATGATAAAAAAAAAGAGTTTGATACAATCAATTAGAATTTATTAAATGTAACACGTATTACGGCCAAGAAATTGCTTTTTAATTATCATCTTGGGAACGCATCTCGTGACCGAATCCTAATGGCTCACGTGATCGCAACGGTGGCTGAGTGAAATTAATTGGAATATGGGATATCAGTATGTCTGCAGCCTGGTTACGAGTTCAGTTTTGATCTGAAATATTAACTGTATAATTCTCGATCTGTTGTTAATATTCAACACTGAATTAAGTGCAGTGACAAAAGGAGGTGTTCCAAAATAAATTCTGACGTTGTCATTATATTAGATTTTAGTTGGTTGATCAAAGAACTTTTCTGCGCATGCTCTTATGTATATTTCTCTCTTTCTCTATGTTGGTTGTTGATTGGTTGATTTTGTTTAGCGGCATATCAGCTTTTGGGAATTATTTAATGCCGAAATCGAAATATTTTGAACAGAATTTTATCACTTCAGCAAAATATATTTTGAACGCAACTGTATACCTTCGACTACAGATAAAATATATTGCTGGTTATTTGGCTATAAATCGGTATACACTTTTTTAATTTCATAGTGTTTTGTTTTTGATTCGGTGCAGTCTCACTAGCTGGGACCGTGACAGTGACGATCACCCTGAGACTATGTTGAAGTATAAATAGCTGATGTATAAAGTAAATACTCTTTTCATCATGATGCTACGCATTTATTGATGTACATACGTATATCGACAAAGAGAATGCGTATGTCGAAATTCACACGCACACACAGAGACGCAGGCACACACACACACACACACACAGAAAGTGAGAAAGAGAGAGAGAGAAAGAAAGCAAGAAAAATAGTGAAAGAAAGAAATATATATAAGAGCATGCGCTGAAAGGTTCTCTGATTGACCATCAACGTCAGATTTTATTTTGGAACCCTCCTAAGTCGAGCCGTTTATATATATATATATATATATATATATATATATATATATATATATATATATATATAAAACGTGAACATTGATGTCGACACTCAGATATAGGCTGTTTCTTGTTGACGCAATCGTCAGGCGGCCTGACGATTGCTTCTAGCATGAAACAGCCTGTTGCCTCTGAGTGTTGACTTCAATGTTCACTTTTATATTTACATACGCTCTATCTCTGATATTGCGCACTATATCCCATAAATACAGCACACCTTGCCTCCTATATATATATATATATATATATATATATATATATATATATATATATATATATATATAGGAGACAAGGTGGCGTAATGGATAGCGGCTAGGATTTAGGAATTCGAATTCCAGTCGAATCCATCACATTCACTTACGTGCAAGGTAAGAAAGGAGTGAATCCTCTTCTTCTCCCTCCAGATATGGGTAAATAGCAGGACAGAATGGATTCTATAGCCTTGGATGGCAACTGGTCGAGGAGAAGGACAACTCTGAATTCAAAACCTACGGAGGGTTGTTTGGGGACCTTGTGGCACGTAGTGCAACAGGTCTCTGTATTCGGCCCTTCAAAAAGTGTGGACGGTCCTGCACGAAACCTTCACCGCTATAATCAAATCTCATGTGCTGATGTCGGACTGTCAGTTTCCTAGGACCCTCATACGTCGAATTCGACGGGAGAGTCGAGTATATATATATATATATATATATATATATATATATATATATATATATATGTGTGTGTGTGGTTGATTTTCCAAGTGCGTAAAACCCTGCCGCGGGTTGACCCAAGCCTTGTGAGTAAAACTGTATAAACGGAAGTATTTGTGAGCCGCCGTAGAAGGTTCTGCAAGCACGAAGTCCCAAGTCATCGTAGCCGATGGTTTGAGCGTACTGGCTTTGTTCAAACTGTTGATCAGGCCAGATATTGCACTCTCTCCCAGAAACTGTAACTAAGGTCCGCTCAGTTGAACAAATACAAATGTGCCGGAGCAGGTGACTGCAACGGGGATTGGTCTAGCCTCTCTAGTAGACAGGCATATTCGGATACGTGCTGCACGGCATTATATTTATAGCTGAAGGGTGTTCAATCATAAAGAAAGCGTTTAAAATTATTGGCAGTGTGGATACAGGAATCAACACTGCATGGCAACTGTCATTTCCACGCTGTCAATACAATCTTCACTTCAATGCACATACACACATATGGAATCTTGTAAAAGAAAATGCCGTAATTAGGTGTTATGTTTTGCGTAGTGTTTTGGACAGTAACATAAAAGAGAGAAAATCGAGAAAAAAAACTAGTATAACGTTTGTTTTGTTGACAAATTTTAATTCTTTCTTAATTTTTAAATGAACATAGCTCCAAAAGATGAGTCTTGGAAACAAATTTTAACGGTTCGGGGCAAAATATTTATACAGTTTAAATGTATTTTAACACACGCGTACCTATACTGAATCAAAATCTATCGAAAGTGACTTACAGTCTTGACGATAATGATCCTACGAGATTTGCAGTTCTTTGTCGTAAAGTATTACTACGTATTGACTATTACACAATTTTTAACCTTCTAACCCAGAAAACGAACAAAGATTTTCAAAAAACTGGCAACATAACACTATATGCCGTTTGTCGCGAAAACGACCTCCAATCGGTTGGGGACTGGGGCAGGAAGTGGCTGGTTAATTTTAATCCCTTAAAAATAAAACTGCTCTCTATTACTCACCAAAGAGAACCATCCCTGCCTCCCATTATATTGTCTGACGCTCAATTCCACGAGAGCACCTCTTTGCGACTGCTGGGTCTCACATTGTCTGCTGACCTGAGATGGAACAAATAGCTTCGTCCACCGCAAGGAAATTTGGCTCCCTGTGCCGCGCCAGGAATTTTTTCTCGCCTGAGTCGATCCTTCAAATCTACAAATCAACCATTCGCCCTTGCATGGAGTATTGCTGCCATATATGGTGTGGGAGCCCCTTCTGTTTGTCTGAAGGCCCTTGATAAAATCCAGAGACGGATATGCAATGTAATTGGCTCTGATCTGGCATCTCGTCTCCAAGCGCTCTCTCATAGACGTGCAGTTGCCTCCCTCTGTCTTTTTTACAAATACTTTCACGATCAGCTGCTTTTGCTGGTTCCAAGACTTCATGAATTTAAGCGTTCTACTAGGCTGGCATCTTGATCTCACCCTTTCACCGTCGAAACTGTTAAATGTTGCTGTCTCTTCTACTCCAATAGCTTCATGTCTCGCACTTCTCGCCTGTGGAACTCCCTCCCCATCATCTTGTTTCATCTATTCAAATGTAATGTCAATTGATGTCTCCAGATGCCTTGATCTATCCCCTATCTTTCTCTTCATCCTTTCCTCTATCACTCCTCTTTGCTCTTGCGTGCTAGTGGCTTCCCGCCTTGCTTGAGGTGAAATGCTTAAAAAAATATCTTGATATGAAGCGATATATTTACCTCAAGAAAAATTTTAAAAAAAAATGAATACGCATCCTCTATTCGTTCTCGTTGTATTTCATCGAAAGCTTATTACTTTATTGAAGTTTTATTGCATTTCTACGCTTTATCAAAGATTTACTACTTAAATACACTGTGTAATATATAATAAACAGATTTTTTTTAAAGTTCAAGACATATATCGGACTTTCAAGTTTCGCAGATACGCATCTCCCTTAGTTTCTCTATCCCTGACGAGCGGCATATCTACGAAACTTGAAGTCCGATAGTTTAGTCTTTTGAACTTTTTTTTTGTTATCTTCTAACCTTTGTGCTCTTTTTGTAAATATTTAGCAATTTGTTTACAAATTTCTGCTCGACTTTAAATGCGTTAAATTCCAGTAGCTGACAGGAACATATGTTTTGTTCATCGTTCACAATCTGTTTTATTACTGTTACGTGCTTAATACACACACACACACACGCATACACACAGATACACACATACAAACAAACACACACACATATATATATATATATATATATATATATATTGTGCATACAGTGTTGGTGTTAATAAAACAGTGTTCCATGTAATAAAACAGAGGTACTAAGTATAAATATGTTTGCAAAACGCAGTCTTCAGTTGCTGAGTGTAGACGCCATACTCACCTGAAAATTGCGTTGTGCTGGAAACTCTGAGTCGTGCTATCGGTGAAGGATAATATGTATATTTATTAATATATATATATATATATATATATATATATATATATATATATATATATGAAGAAATGTATTTTTAAGCTGTGCTATATTTATGGGATAAAGTGCTCAATAGATATAGCGTATGTAAAGTGAATATTGAAGTCAACACTCACAGTCGGATCTGAGTGTTGACTTCAATGTTCACTTATATATATATATATATATATATATATATATATATATATATATATATATATATTTGTATGTGTATGATGCATAAAGAATGAAGAGTGTGTTTAAGGGGAAACACACATTTTATACAGAAAAATCAAATTATTTATCGAATATGTATTTTGTAAATTCATAAAATGAAAAATGTATGTAGTTATCTCTGTACAGATGATGGTATGATTACAAATATCTGTGTCATATGCCATATTGTTCTCAACACAAAAACACAACCACACACGCACACACACACACATATATATATATATGTGTGTGTGTATGAATGTGTGCATGTGATTGTGCGTGAGAGAGAGAGAGAGAGAGAGAGAGAGAGTCTTAAATTTAAACAACAATAACAGTTTTGACCTATTAGACATTAAATTACATCACTTAGCAGCCTCCATATTTTACTTTGAATTGCAGTTAGACTGAAGTATATTTTTGAGCTTTCTTGAAGTAAAAAATTATGAAAACTAACATCATCTTTACTTCTGTTTATAAATACTTGTTACAAAATAAAATCCTTACATTTTCCTGATAAAGTCAACCAAAAGTCGAAACGTGTCGATAAAGAAAATCGTCAGGTCATGGGCTTAAAACTATATTGTATCACCACCCCCAATATATATATATATATATATATTACCACCCCCATATATATATATATTATCACATATGCCCATATATATATATATATATATATATATATATATATATATATATATGTATAATAAAATATTATAATGAAAACATGTTAAAATTGTTAAACAAAAGCTTTCATGTTTCAATACTATGATTGTACTTCTTCCAAGGATGGTATGTAACTGATGATTAAATGATTCATAAGAAAATTTTTTAAAAAGTGTTACCTCTTTTCCGAAAGTTAAAGCTAATGAATTGCTCTACTTTGCATTGAGCACATTTAAGAAAAAAGTAAATGCTACGAACAGTAGAAGAATTTTACTCCATCTGATCTTTCTCTCATTTGGAGATATATATATATATATATATATATATATATATATATATATATATATATGTATGTATGTATGCATATAATAAAAATTATAATAATAATAATAATAATAATAATAATAAATTATCCAACCCTTTCTTCTTTCCTAGTGTGTGTGTATATATATATATATATATATATATATATATATATATATATATATATATATATATATATGTATATATTTGAATAAAAGACAGACCACCTTAAGATTCCATATAATAAGCTATTTCACCATAACCCCTTTAACAGACAGGGTTCTGGATCATCAGACTTTACTTCCAAAAAGCTGAAAAGAAAAATGAAAAGAAATTCACATTCAGAAAAAAAAATATATATATATATATATATATATATATATATATATATATATATATATATATATATATATATATATATAATTCAATATACCCATAATGGTGAAGTGTGTGTGTGTGTGTGTATGTGTGTGTGTGATTGCGAGCAGAGTTTTTGGTCAAAGAGCAAAGAGACATTGAATCCGATGGTCTGTTGGGGTAATTGCTACTGTCTCGGTCGCCAGGTTACTTTAGGTTAGATGATGTTAGATTATGTTGGGCACGGGTGTGGGGGTGGGGGGGTCGGTAAAATGCTACATCGTTAAATGTTAGCACATTCCCACGCTGGGAAAGTTGGTTCTAGCGACGAAGGAGAGACGTTAAGGAGGAAAGAGAAACGGGACGAGGCTTGGCAGAAGTCACAGCGGGGGTGTTGGCGGACTTGTTGACATTTCAGTCCCTGATCTGTGATTTGATAGGTAATACAGTAGTGCCGGACCAGCTCTAGCCTCACTGACCTAACTTCCGGCGGGAGGTCAAACGTGCGATTTGTGATTCAGTGTATTTGGCCATACAAATTGTACATATATATATATATATATATATATATATATATATATATATATATATATATATATATATTGATTGATTGATTGGTTGCTTGATTGATTTCATTACATTACAAACATTGAAGACCTTGATATTGTTTTCCATCACATCCAACATTGATGAAATATTGCAAAAATTAGGGCTCTGCTACTTCCTATGCCGTCAATGAAACACTATCGAGTCTTCTGCGAAGGACCCACGTCTCTTGTGAGATTGACTACTGCCAAGGGTAAGGAATCTCGTCTCTCATGAAATCAACTACATCAAATGAGACGCAAAATCCACTTCAGTATTATATTATCTGTATTTTAGGATTCTAACAGAATCTACATTGATACCTTGCAATAAACGAAAGCAGCTAAAAGCTTGAAATATTAAACAAACTGACAGAAACTATTATATTATATTTATTTAACATGCATGCAACCCATTTATCGATCTATCAATCTATCACTCTATCTCCCCTTAAGCACATACACACACACACACACACACACACACACACACACACAATCACACACACACACACACACACATATATATATATATATATATATATATATATATATATATATAGACAGAGGTGACCTCAAACACCAATAAATACATTTCTTTCCCATCCTCCAGTTAGCATCCTAGCCCAGATCACAATTATAGATATATATATATATATATATATATGACGTTTTTGGACTATGTCGCCTCTATATGATTAGAATCTCTCCATCACCCCACGATTCGAAATCTTGCCATTTTCTCACTCTCTCTCTCTCTCTCTCTCTCTCTCTCTCCCGATCTCTCCTTCTCTCTCTTTCTCTCTGAATCTCTTGTTTCCTTCGCTTTCTTTTAGCAGATTTTATATACTCCTCCAGTGAGTTCTTGAGGGCATCTTGTCCCTGAAATTTGCTCAGAAATATTTAACTCGGAAATTACTCCAGAGTCTCCAATTGAAATGGCTTTGTTATTTGGTAAATAATTTTTTGGTAAATATTTTTTATGACACTGAAGCGCCACTTAGAAATAGTGCCCTCTTCTTTGCTGAAATCGTTTGTTTTAATATAAATATTCCTTTTCAAGCTGTTCAAGTCCTCAGTTGATCAAATAAGCTCAGATTTCGGAGTAATGACACGATTAAGCAGCCACTGAACTATATCTAACGTCATGAAGTCACTTCAAGTTTCGGGTCTTTTAACATCATATCTTTTCATCCAAATGACCCTACCGGAACAATACCTATTCCATCAGGCAATCCTGAAGCAAAGAGCCACCAAGACATCACAACAACGGACATATAAAGAACTACCACTGCTGATCTTGAAACAGCAAGCGACCAATCAGAAACGCCCTACGTCACTTCCTCTTCAGCTAAAGACGAGACAAAAAGAGAACAATCTCTATATAACTGAAACATAATTTTAATTTTTCTTTTTTTAGAATAAGGAGATAGGAGAAAAAATGGGTTCATGCTTTTTCCAAGGGCATTAGTGAGAAAATGAACCTAGTAGGCGAAACTGAAATTTGAACCCGTCTCCCCGATTCTAATTGCAGCCCCCCACATATAAATTATTTTTAAACATATTCACTATCATTGGCCATGTATTTTTGTGGAGCTCTTAAATTGGCGGGTTCAGAGTTGTACAGAGCCACTGAAAAACCTGAATTGTCATGGATATCTCTGTCGCCATTACAGAAACGCATTACACTAACACCAGGCTAACTGTGCTTCCATCTACTCTTTGGTCTCCAAAAACATTAAAAAAAACGTCATCGATGAATATGAAATGGTAATTTTTGTCTGTATGGCAGAATTCAATAAAACACTTCTGCTTCATAAACATATTCATGTCAGATGTCATTCTGCCAGACTGTTTTTTCTAAAAAAAAAAAAGAGAAAAAGAAAAAGAAAAAAACACTATGGGTTGTTGACGGGAATCATTATCCTCTGCTACCATTAGATCAAAATCTGCCTATGATTCTTTCGCCATCAAAATTAATTAGGATGCATATTTCGGAAGAACTGCCGTAAATACAATTCCTAGAGTAATCTGTTAGAGTAGATAAAATTATTTACTATCTACATGTCCTTTTATTTTTTATTTTTTTCTTACGTCATTGGAAAGAACAATAGGTAGAAAAGACGAGATATGTTTGTATGTTGAGGCCTGGGGAAAATGGGTATTTTCAGCTAGTTCAGAGTATGAATTAACGAGTCGTAAAAGGAATGATTTTGTTAATAATAACAGATTCAAGTAATGCATGTTTGACAGTTGACTCATAACGTAGTCGGCGCTCTCAAACCTGACGACAAGGGACTAAAGACCGTCTTAAAAATATAAACTTTAAGTAAATGGCAGGTCAGCGCGTCAAACACATGACATGAACGGTCATTAGATTTTTAAGGGTGACCGACGGACCAGGGCAGTGTGTGGTGCAGAGTATCAGGGTGCCAATGCTGTTTGGCTGTGATTAGAGAGCAAAATGGTGAAAGTTGTTTTCAGGGTAATTTTTGAATGGAGTTATCTCGAATGTCACAGAAATTTATTTCTATCTAATTGTTTGGTTATTTATCTATGTACGTAAATATAATCCTATCTTTTTCTGGATCTATCTATCTATTTATCTATCTGTCTATCTCAGTTTGTTCATATATCTGATATCTGTC